TGATTATTATTTTTTTTTTTTTAAATTAAGATTACAGATTTTTTAGTTAATGTACAGTTTTTACAAAAATAAAAAAAATAAATATGAACAAAAGCTAAAAAATATGTGTTAAAAATAATAATTTTATATTCGAAGGCAAATAATTAAAAATAAAAAAAACAAAAACGGGAGGGGGGGAGGAAATGTCCTACTACGCCGAAAACAGCTGGGAGGGGGGGAAATGTCCGGATACCCTTTGAAAATTATCGAATACTATCTATATTCTAATATTAATTACAATAATATACCAGCCGACGAAGGTTACTATACCTATTCTATTTTACTTTCGGTTATAGAAGTCTAAGACGGAAAAAATATGGGATATACACTTCGATGAGTCTGCGTTACACGAGATCCCAGAACCATATGAATAAAATAAATAGAATGGAGTTGAAAATAATGCTTCTATGCCAGGAGCAGTTAATGCGAGATGTGTGTGGGTGTATGTGGTGGTGTTGGGGGGGGGAGAAGGGTTGGTGAGAGGACAATTTAGACTGCTGCCAGGCGTTCCATATGMGCTCTTCCGGTAGATGAGCTGGAGATCGCAAAAGAGGGAATTTTAAAAGGGGCGATGTGTAAATACTATACCTTTTACAGCCATTTAGGTACTCGTACTTTTGTTACACAAATACACAAAACGATCCACTTTCCGTTGCCATTAATATGCTTGTTTGTGATAGATGAAAAGAAATGTTTGTTTGAAATATTGCTTTGAGTTCCATATAAAACGAGTGTAGGTACCGGTACTAACAAATATTTTTAGTTAAAGTTACAATTTAGAAACAACACGGTCGAGAAAACTATTTTCACGCSAATATATATTAAAAAAGCGGGTAAGTCGTGGATGTCACTCTGCAGTACAGTAGGTTACTGTAATAGATGGGATTAAATTTGAATGCAATGATAGGTATCATTGTATACRAAAAAYGATTYTGAACGGAGATGATTTGTCAGTCTAGGATATATTATACTTAAATATTGTCATATATTCTATTTTGAAACAAATATTTTATTTTTCAATTAAGACGCATTTT